AATGACATAGATAAAAATGCCAAAGATTGTCAGGATTAAACACTATGGTAATAATGCAATGCGTTTCTGAGTGGATTTTTCCACACATATTTTTGCTCTTTACAAACCTGCAAGCAAAGGCAGTTTGTCAAACATGACATTACTCACTGGAGTACTGTGAGTGACCTAGTTAGTTCATATCTTGGATATTTCATCATTTTACAAGGGCACAGTCACTGGGGCAGACTATATTAATGAATATTCACAAATACTTTGTGTACAGTATACAGAATGACCTAATTCTGACTTTATTCTATGGCTAGCAACAAAATGAATCACTAAAAGTAAGAGTACTGCATTAAATGCCTTGGTTTTATTATTTTTGTATTATGATAATAAAGCTACACAATTTACGTTAATTCAACTTTTTATGTTTATGCCTTCAAGTACTTTGCTATTTGACTGGCAGACTGCTTCCTAGTTCATGAATATTAATTAGGTCATGTTGATCAGTTAGCACGCTTCCCAGAGCATCCAGTCCAGTCACAAGAAATTAATATTCAAGGGGCAAAGCCTTCTTTCCAAATCCTGCCTGTCAGCTAATCAGGCAGGCCTACAGAGCAAAGACTGTGTAACCTAATTAATATTCATGAGCCAAGCCTTCGCCGTGGCAGCGTTCATGAACTCACACCTACATACCGAACCCAGTCTGTTCTACCGATGGAGGAGAAAACCCACCATCTCATCTTTTTTCAGTTTCATTGACCTCTCTAGTTAAAATTAGAAGAAAAAAAGAGTCTAATTTGGATTTCGATCAGTTGAAAATGTTACAGTAGGTCAGTCTGTATTGGCTAGCACTGCTTTGTATTCTGCTTTGCTGTTCTCTCAGGATTTTTCTGTCCCTCTGACTGTACAGTCATGAACACTGACCATAGGTGATAGACGTAAAGCCTAAGCATGTTTTTTTTAATGCGCTCTCATTGAAATTCCAGCAGATGGCTCAGAGGAAGACCTACTACTGTTCCAAGCCTTTCCATTTATAGATTACAACGTGAAGTTTGCTGGAGACTCAGAGACTTAGAAATGACTTTTAACTTCTTCCAAAGTGAAAGACGTCAGCAGTGTTCTTCTAATCTCTTCTGAAAAAAGGAACACTTTTTTATGCTGTAAGAGTGACTCCGATTGTCACATTTCTTTCTTCAATCATAGACAAAGACAGGAAACGTTTGATCACCAGAACAACAAAATGGTGTGTGATGTTTTACATGTTTTTATTAGTGCTTTCTGTCATTATCGTGTTGCCACAGAGAATGATGGGTAAGTTGGTCACATATAACCTGACTAAAAGAGTCCACCATGGTTCTTTAAATGACAAGCCTCCCACTGAGTAAATTCAGAGTTTCCCATCGTAATTATGCCATACTGATCATTCAACATGGGTTTTTTGGGCACTCTGTTTTACTAGGCATTTTTTTGTCATGATCTGTGTTTATAAGTCCACTGCTTTGTGTACAGAGGTTACAGCTGTATTTCTGCTGTTCCATCAGCGCCACCTGCTGTCAGACAGTGGAGTTACATTTTCCTTCAGCCCGTCTGCTGTTTTTGTTCAGACCAATGTGAAAACGGGACCAAACATTAATCTTAACCGGTCGATGATCTAACCGGTAGATCTAAAAATCACAACACTAATAAGGTAGCCTATGTAGAATTGTTTATGGAGCAGATAAAATGCCTTTAATTTATCATTTTGACTCATCCTTTTCTTAAAAATGACTTAAAGGCTGAAATGTGAGGTTTATCGTTTTATAAAAAAATGTTTAGTCAAAACTTTATTTGAACATGTAGTACATTTTAGTAGACAGTGCTTTTATTTGTTGTTTTAAGTGATTTCAGTGTGCGTTTCAGTACTTTTTGAACATTTCCAGCCCATTTTAATAATACTGTAATAATAGTGAAAACCGTCTTGGTCATTTTGGTCACTATAATCGTGATATTACATTTTTATACCATTTCATCTGTAGTCAAGAGTGTGTATCAAAAGAAATGTTTTCATTTTTTTCTTTTGACACTGTAGGTGTGGGTTTGGGTAAAAGCTCACTGTTGTTATTAGGGTATTAGGGTTGTTATTAGGGTGTGAGTGTACTGTTCAACAGTAGAAATATGTCAGTATTCTGCTATCCCTCAGAATCACTCTTAAAAATGGTTCCAAAAGGGGTTTATCACAGCCATTCCGTAGAAGAACCCGTTTGGGCTCCTCAAAGAACCTTTCAGTAAAAATTATTAAAATATGATGAACATTTCAATAATCTAAAGAACCTTCTTCCACTGTAAAGAACAATGGAAAGGTTTTATGAGTGTTAAAGATGTCAATAAAGAACCTTTGGTATTATAACAGAGCTGAAAAAGCCTTTCAGGTTTCATGTTGCAATGTGCTACAATCAGTGTAGACGTGTAGGTTGTTTATGGTTGACAATGATATCACAACTTGCTGCATTAAAGTAATTCAGCTGATGAGCAGTTACTGATATGAGCAGCAGCAGCTTCCACTGGCTCATCTAATTCGAATTCAGAGTCGGAACAATCTGTTTTATAATATTAGTTTTATTGTTTTGACACAGTTTGCTGCATAATGTGGAGCTGTTATTGCACTGATGTCAGATGCAATCATTTGTTATGAATAATTTTCAATTTGTGTCCATCAGATTCCAAACAAAAACAGAAAATCTAATGAGATGAAGCCCCTTTCATTTTGTGATTTTTACATTTACATTTATATTTAATCATTTAGCAGATGCTTTCATCCAAAGCGACTTACAAATGAGGACAATGGAAACAATCAAAATCAACAAAAGAGCAATGATATACAAGTGCTATAACAAGTCTCAGTTAGCTTAATGCAGTACACGTAGCAACGTCTTTTTTATTATATAATAAATAAAAAGAAAACAGATAGAATAGAAAAAGAATAGAGCAAGCTAGTGTTAGAGGCCTTTTTTTGCTTTTGTTAATTCTATAATAAATGAAAAGAAAACAAATAGATAGAATACAAAAAGATTAGAAAGATTTGTTGTTGTTTTTATTAAAGAAAACAAGCAGTTAGTAAATAAATAGAGTGCAAGTCTAAAAGGGGCAAGTTTGTTTTATAAAGAATAGAATTAGAATGTTAGAGTTAGAGGGTCAAATTTTTTAAAGAAAACAAGCATTTATTTTTCATTCAATTTATTTGACATTTTATTTCAAATTTTTTAAATGTATTTAAAATTTAAAAATGTTTTTAAATTATTATTGATTTTTAAATGTTTTTGAAAGAAGACTCTTCTGCTTACTAAGGCTGCATTTATTTGATTAAAATACAGTAAAAATTGTAACATTGTGAAATACTATTACAATTTATATTAACTGTTTTCTATGTGAATATATGTTCAAATGTACAGTAAATTATTGCGGTGATGTAAAGCTGAATTTCCAGCATCATTACTCCAGTCTTCAGTGTCACATGATCTTCATTCTAAGATGCTGATTTGCTGCTCAAGAAACATTTTTGATTATTATCAATGTTGAACACAGTGTGGAAACCATGATACATTGTTTTCAGGATTCTTTGATGAATAAAAAAAGAAAATGTCAAAAGAACAACCTTTATTTAAAATAGAAATCTTTTGTAAGATTATAGAGATCTTTACTGTCACTTTTGATCAATTTAATGCATTGCTTGCTGAATAAAGGAATTGATTTCTTAAAAAAGAAAAATAACAATATAATATCATTACTAAGTTCATGTTGAAATGTACATCTGCCACCAGTCAAATGTGGGTATTTTTAAGCAGTGGCAGATTATTTTGCTCATCTTCCCTTAAATTTAGTTGCTTAAACACAAGGAAATTATATTTTTAATTTATGAGCAGTCTGAATTAAATGGGATTATATAAAAAAACTGTTTTAAAAATATAGCTGCAACAAGCACAACAGAGGGAAAATGAAGAGCTGTCTTTAATTACTCAGTAAAGACCCGGGTACTCCAACCCTGCTCCTGGAGAGCTACCGTCCTGCAAACTTAAGTTCCAACCCTGCTTCAACACACCTGTCTGTAATCAAGTAGCCCTGAACACCTCGATTAGCTGGTTCAGGTGTATGTGATTAGGGTTGAAGCTGAACTCTGCAGTATGGTAGCTCTCCAGCAGCAGGGTTGGTGACCCCCTGTTAAAGACATTTGTTGATATAGCATTTTACGACAAAACTCAAAATTGCCGACGCCCAAAAAGGCAGACATATGTAAATTAGGAATAGTTCGACTTGGTATGCCGTTCCGAATCTAACGAGGCCAATCTTATGATTTTGGCCAAACTGGCCAAAAGTTCACCAAAGTTATAAGCAGAATTGTAAATGTTTTATATATTTTGGCCAGTAGGTGCTGATGTGGTGAAACTCCTCATGTGCCATCAGGTCATGCTTTGTATAACAGGTACCACGTTCGGTCAGAATCTGCTAAAGCGTTGCGAAGAGATAGCCTCATGTCCATTTTTGAGCGAATTTCATCAAATTTGTTAACATGCCAGAGTTTGCGATAGAGACTCCAAATTTGCTATGGTTAATATTGACACTGTCCTCTATCTGTGTGCCAAATTTGATAACTTTCCCGCAAGTGGTTCAATGGGCTTCCCAAGTGGAAGAAGTAGAAGAAGAAGACTACTTCTAGAAAACTAACAGATACAATAGGTGCTTAGCCCCTATAAATAACAATGGCAAGAAAGCACCTTTCTATCATGTAGTCTTTGTGGAATGCACAGAAAAACATCACAAACAAATGTTTTTTAATGACGTTACAGGTATGAATTAGCCTGTTGAAAACTTTAGTTATTTTTTTTAATAAGTGATATTTTAAGCAATGAATTGCCTGTGCAAAGAGGCCATTTCTGGTAACTTGATTTGGCATTTTCCATGGCTGGTGGGCAAAAAAATAAGTTGATTTTGTGCCCGTCTACATGTGCTGATTGGGTGAGTGCTCATGTGTGTTATCTAACCTCCAGTCCATTTTCTCCACCAGGTAGGCACATACTAAAAAGCCGGTGCGGTTGAAGCCATGCGTGCAGTGAACGCCTGCAGGAGACAGAATAAAAGCAGTTACTTCAACACAACTGAATCACACATTATTCACACAGCCCACCCACCCACCAAACCAATCATTCTGGACACATGAACGATTTTCATCCTTCGCTGAAATCAATATCATCATTTTTGGTTATTTATGCAGTCTGTGCAGGACCGGACCGCTGGCCTTTGGAGTGATGCAGTGGGAACTGATGACAGAACAAAGCCCTTCCTCTCCTGCTCACTGATACACATATTAAATGTGCAGCGCTGAGTGCTGAACTCTGGTCAAGCCAGCCGCAGCTCTCAAATAGCTGTGTGAACTTATTAAGATAATTACAGTCTTCAGCAGGAAGTGCAGAGAGACGTGCTTTCCGAGCGTTTCTTTCATAGAGCTGGCCTTTTGTTTTGAGTTTGCCACTTTTGCATCAGGGTAATAATCAAAGAGAAATGAAAAGCAGGCCAAAGTTGTCCATATAAAGTCGTGGCCTATTGGTTAGAGAGTCGGACTCGTAACCGGTTCGAGTCTCGTACCGGCAGGGATTGTAGGTGGGGGGAGTGAATGTACAGCGCTCTCTTCCACCTTCAACACCCACGACTGAGGTGCCCTAGAGCAAGGCACCGAACCCCCAAATGCTCCCCGGGCGCCGCAGCATAAATGGCTGACCACTGCTCCGTGTGTGTGTTCACTTTGGATGGGATAAATGCATAGCACTAATTCCGAGTATGGGTCACCATACTTGGCCACATGTCACATCACTTTCACTATAACACGCAGAGTCGCAATATACTAGAACTGACGGATCAATGTGATATTTAAAAAATGAAAGCAACTCTATGTAATTTTGTGTAATCTTGTGAGCCTCCTACAGTTAAGTGAGTGGATTTCACTGTCGGAAATATATCAGTGGATTGACCGATATATATTTAGCGGTCGACCGATATTGATTTTCTGATGACCGATGCCAATATCTCAGAGAGAGCAGAATGGACAATAGTCAATGTAAAGCCAATAAATATGGTATCACACTATTTAATTTAAAGATAATAAAAACTCATGCGTACATACCAACTGCTGAAATGAAATTTATACTTGCTACATAATATTTATATATTCATATAATAATCTGATAAACAATTTGAATTTGATTAAAAAACGAATTCTTGATTCTGTAATCCCATTATAATATTTTTCACAAATAAAGAAATTGATAAAAAGGAAGTAACGGAAAGTTTGCAAGGTTAGTTGAATTAAATGTTTATTAGATGTTCAAAGACTTAAGTTATATAAATGCATATTTGCTGAATACTGACAACAGATGAGAAAAGTAATCTTTCGCACACCGTTTACTTTCTTTGTTTAACAGTTCTGTCTAATAATTTATTTGACAGAATTGTTAAACAGAGAGAGCAAATTAACGTAGACCGAGAATTGGAATAAAAGTCTTGTATATTGAAGCCTGTTGCTGCCACAAAAATAGAAAAGGTAATTGCAACTTTTTATCTCACAATTCTGACTACTTCCCTTGCAATTCTGTGATGTAAACTCCTAATGGCGAGGAATAAAGTCCAAATTGTGAGAGAAACATCACAATTACCTTGGCGGAAATGGGTTTCTATAGTCCTGATTCTGATTCTGACACATCGGCCAAATAGAAAAACAGCCGATGTCAATATTTATGAAATGCCAAATATCGGCCAATACATCGTTGAAGGCTGACCTGACCACTGGAAAGCTCACACATGTATCTGTTGCTGCCGTAAAGCAATCCACCCTTTTTGCGTTATTTCGTATCTGCTCATCAAACCTACACATTCCCAGACATTTGGGGGGAAAGTAGAAAAGAAACAGAAGCCATTTAACAGAAGTCGGCGTACCATCAGAATAATTTCAGAATAATTTTGAAACTAATATTTCAAGATTTTAAAAAAAACCTTACTTTGCTTACTTACTTAGAGTTGCTTTAAATATTGATATTGTGTTAATACTAATATTGTAAATAACCCAGGGCCTGTTCACACTCCAACAAAGCAGGTGCCACTAGTACACCTTAACGCCACTCATCACCACAGAAATTCATGAAGTGAGACACTCTACATGTACTTGAAGTTTTTTAGATTCTTTAAATAAAGAGCCCAGTCTACATGAAGTGCCAATCAATAGTAAATTCTGTTCGCATGCTTCTGTACAGTGAAAGTGACGTGACATGTGGCCAAGTATGGTGACCCATACTCGGAATTAGTGCTCTGCATTTATCCCATCCAAAGTGCACACACACACCATGAACACACACACACCGTGAACACACACCCGGAGCAGTGGGCAGCCATTTATGCTGCGGCGCCCGGGGAACTGGGCACTCAAGTGCACCTCAGTCATGGTATTGAAGGTGGAAGAGAGCGCTGTACATTCCCCCCACCTACAATTCCCCCCTGCCGGTACGAGACTCGAACCCACAACCTTTGGGTTGCGAGTCCGACTCTCTAACCATTAGGCCACGACTTCCCCCGAGTTTATGCTCGTATTTTTCCATTTGATTCTTTGGCCAAAAAACACAAAATAAAGTTAAAGATTAAAAAAAAATTTGTGTGAACATTTGGGCGGCATTATGCAAATCTTCCCACATAGTGAGGTAGACATGTGGGGGCGTGATAGAACGAGCCGTTTTAGGTAGGTGTGGCTAACTCTTAACTTTTATAAAGAATATCTCTTTGGATTTGAGACTTTAGTCTTTGCAACTTTACAGATCTTCTTTATACACCAAGAGCTTGTAACACTCCAAAGAGAAAGGAAAAAATGAAATCGCATCATATGACCCCTTTAAGTTTAAGTTGCCAGTCTGTGGATTTACAGGCTTGGCAGCCAAATGAGTTCAGTTATGAAACAATCTGACAACACAGCATTGGCTTTAACATTGTATGCCCAATTGCAGTTATCTTACTACGTTGAACATTTCACTACATTGACTGAAAGTTACATTGTAAGGGTCCGTTCACACAAAACATGTTTTTGTATTTAAAAACTTGAGCAGTGGAATTTTTAAAAGCTGCAAGCAGCACAGTGGAATGCAAAGAAAAAGCTAGAGTTAAGCATGTTGAGTTCATGACTTTTCCCCCATCTACACCGGTGTCACGTCAAAAGCAAACAGAAGCCATTCCGACCAATGATGCTGTCTGCTCCGGATGTGAACCGCGCCGTGCTGCCGACAGTAAACAGAAACCCCATTCTATTTCTGACAAACTCCAATAACAGGAAAAATAGATGCGGAAACATCAGATCTTTCTGAAAGGCTGCTGTGCTCAGTGTGGACAGCATCAGTCTGGTGTTAGACTGATTCACACAACAGAGCTTCTAATGTATGCAGTCCTGTCGTTTTCCTCCTAATGAACAATCTTCAGTTCATCCACATAAGAGCGGCAAATATACCAGTTGATGACACCTGATTGAGGAAATAAATGCAGACAGTAAGCTGCTCTTGATTTGTAACAGCAGTGATCTGACCCACCAGCAGCGAAAGGAACTCACTGCCTTGAATGAATGAATAACTTTATTCAAACATTTAGAAATAATATAGTAAATAATACTGTACTGTAATAATACAGAAATACAGTATATATATATATATATATATATATATATATATATATATATATATAAATATATATAGTCAAAGATAAGCATAAGCATGAGCTTATTTAACATTGTTTGAGCACTGAACATAATCCATTCCACAGCTTCACTCCACAAACAGAAATACAAAAGCTTTTTAATTTTGTACGGACACAAAGATGTTTCAAGTTGCACTCCCACCTAAAACTGTTTCTCTCTTCTCTATTACAAAACCATTTTTGAATATTGCCAGGGAGTAGGTTGTTTTTTGCTTTATACATTATTCATGCTATTTTAAACTAAACTAAATCAATACATTTCAATGTTTTTAATTTTTTTAAAAATGAATTTGTGTGATCTCTATAACCGGTATTATGAATGATCCTTTTTTGCAGTATAAATAGTGATGATAGTCTACATTTATAAGTATTGCCCAAAACCTCAAAACAGTCATTTAAATATGGTAATATCAGTGTGCAGTAAATAATGTGGAGTGATTTGTGGTCCAGAACATGCTTTGCTTTATTTAGTACTGAAATATTTCTAGAAAGTTTACTGTGTACATGTTTATATACGAGATTCACAGCTTATTTTGTCATCAATTATCACCCCAAGAAACTTATTTTCATGAACCCTTTCTATATCCACACCATCTATCTGTATCTGAACTCTTTTTACAGTTACCAAATAACATGCATTTAGTTTTATTAAAGTTTAATGTTCATTTTTTCTGTAAAACCACCTTTTTAATTTACACATCTCTGAACTAGTGGTCTCCAGTAGCTCCTTTAAATTCCTCCAAGAACAACAAATATTTGTATCATCCACAAATAGAACTAGTTTTACTATTTTTGATACTTTACAAATATTATTTATAGAAAGCAAAAATAATTTTGGACCCAATACTGTTCCCTGGGGGATGCCACAAGCAATGTTCAAGCACGACGATGAATGTTCCCCCCAACTTCACAAATTGTTTCCTGTCTCTTAAATAACTTTTCACCCAGTGCAATACTACAACACCCCTGATCCCATACCATTAAAATTTATTGATTAATGTTATGATTAATTGTATCGAAGGCTTTTTTAAAAACTATACAACTCCAACTGCATACTGCTTGTGGTCTATAGCTTTCGTAATTTCCTCAATTGAATCAATTAATGCCAATGATGTTGAACTGTTTGATCTGAATCTGTATTGACTGTCAGAAAACAATTTATGTTTATCTAAAAAGTATCTAATCTATTAGTAATAGCTTTTCTAGAATTTTGGAAATTTTGCCTTGCAATTTTTCTAAGACCTAAAGCAGCATCTGTGGCCATGTTGCCTGTCCTGCTCACTGTATTGTACAATAAAGACACACAATCTTTACACGGCTCATACTCTCGTACAAGCAGC